AAGTAGTAGGGGTCGCAGATGATCTGCGCCGTGGGCTCTTCGTACCAGGGCACGACCCGGATGCTCTGAGGATCCGGCTCCAGGTAGACGTCCGACATGGCGTCGTCGATGACGTTTTCGGAGTCGTGCGGATAGCGCCCGTTGACGGTCTGGACGAAGATCGCCTCGGGAATCCGCAGCCCGCGTTTGATGCCGCGCACGAACTTGTCGGCCGGCAAGATCTTGCCACGTGCGATGCCGGCCATGTCCGGCACCAGGCACTCGACCTCCTCGATACGATGGTCCTTGAGGAATTCCTCGATGTAGGACATGGACTAGACGACTTTCCCTGAGGCTGGAACTCTCCAGCTACCACCTGCTCCCCGGAAGCGTCCAGAGTTACGGACGTCAGCCAAGATCTGCCGCCACAGGTTCAGTCTGCCCTCATGTCCCGCCAAGCCCACACCGACTCCTGGTACGCCGCCACGGCTCGGCCCCAGCCCCACTACCCGGAGCTGACCGAGTCGCTCTCCTGCGACGTTTGCGTCGTCGGCGGCGGCTATACCGGCGTCACCGCGGCGCTGGAGTTGGCGGAGCGGGGATTCGACGTGGTGCTGCTGGAGGCCAATCGCATTGGCTGGGGTGCGTCCGGGCGCAACGGCGGACAGATCTGCACCGGCTTTTCCTCGAGCCCCGACAAGCTGATCGACTGGGTCGGGCTCGACGATGCGCGGCGCCTCTTCGCGATGACCGAGGAGGGTAAGCAGATCATCCGGGACCGGGTCGCCAGGCATGACATCGACTGCGATCTGACCTGGGGCTACTTCCATGCCGCCGACCGGCCGCGCGAGCTGAGGGAATGCGAGGAGGCGGCGGAAACCCTCTCGAAGCTCGGCTACGAGGCGCAGGAGGTGGTGCGGGACGCGGAGAGGGCGCAGCGGCACGCGGCCTCGCCGCGGTTCATCGGTGGCCTCTACGAGTCGGGCGCCGGTCATCTCCATCCGCTGAACTACTGTCTCGGCCTCGCCCGCGCGGCGGCGCAGACCGGCGTGCGGATCTTCGAGGGGACGCGTGCGCTGACGATCGATACCGAGGCCGCCAAGGTCTCGACGGCCAAGGGCGAAGTCAGCGCCAAGTTTCTGGTGCTGGCGATGAATGCCTATCTGGGCGATCTGGTGCCGGGACTGCGCAGCCGGATCATGCCGGTCGGCACCTACATCGCCGCGACGGAGACGCTGGGCGAGAACCGGGCCAAGGGTCTGATCCCCGGCAATGCCGCCGTCGCCGACATGAAGTTCGTGCTCAACTACTTCCGCCGCTCGCCCGACCACCGGCTGCTGTTCGGCGGCCGCGTCAGCTACTCCACCCTGATGCCGCCAAACCTGCCGCGGGCCATGCGCAAGAAGATGCTGGAGGTCTATCCCGACCTGGCGGACGTGGGTTTCGACTTCACCTGGGGCGGTTTCGTCGCGATCACCGTGGAGCGTTCGCCGCATCTCGGGCGGCTCGGTCGGCGCACCTACTTTGCCCAGGGCTTTTCCGGGTCGGGCGTGACCTTGACTGGGATCGCGGGCCGGGTGCTGGCCGAGGCCATTGCGGGTCAGGCCGGGCGTCTGGACCTCTTCGCCAAGCTACCCCACACGCCTTTCCCCGGCGGGCGCATCCTGCGCACGCCGAGCCTCGTGCTTGCCATGCTCTGGTATCGCCTGCGTGACCTCGTCCCGTAGAGCGGGCTTCTTTCTCCAGGGCGACAAGCGGCGCAGGCGGCTGAAGACCTTGAAGGCGTCGGCGCCCAGCCAGGACACGAGCGCGGCCATCCCCAAATAGCGCAGGCCCCGCGAAATCAGGACGGCGGCGATGAAACCGGGCAGCGCATAGCCCGTGATACCGCTGGCCAGGACGGCGATCTGAAAGGGGATTGGCGTCAGGCCGGCGACCAGGATCGCCCAGAAACCGTGGGTCTGCATGAAGATCTTGAAGTCGTCGAAGGCCTCTTGCCGGCCGATCAGGGCAACGAGATCCTGCCCGAACCAGCCGTAGAGCCAGGCGCCGAGGAAGTAGGCGATCACGGCGCCGATCAGGCAGCCGGCCAGTGCGATCGTACCGGTCCGCCAGGCACGGCGGCGATCCACCAGCATCATCGGTGCCATGATGGCCTCGAGCATCAGCGGCAGAAACACCGTTTCCGCCGCCGAGAGGGCGAAGAGCCCAGCCTGGCCGTGGCGCGAGCGGGTCAACCGCCGCGCAAAGAGCACCGTCCGACGCATGGGAGAGGCCTTTAGAACAGTCTTATGACGGCAATATGGTTCTATAAATCTCTAATCGATAGGATTTTGATAAAGTTCCGAAGCCCGGAAGACATGGGAGCGGAGGTTAGGACAGACCCATGACCTCCTGAGGGGCCGTGTAAGGCAGGCCATGGGCCTCGGCGACGGCGCGGTAGGTCAGCTTCCCCTGGGCGACGTTGAGGCCGTTCAAAAGATTGCGATCATCGGAAAGCGCCTTGCGCGCGCCCTTGTCCGCCAGCGCCAGGACGAAGGGAAGGGTGGCGTTGTTAAGGGCGCTGGTCGCCGTGCGGGCGACGGCGCCCGGCATGTTGGCGACGCAGTAGTGCACCACCTCGTCGATCACGTAGGTGGGATCGTCGTGGGTGGTGGGCCTGGAGGTCTCGAAGCAGCCGCCCTGATCGATGGCGATGTCGACCAGCACGGCGCCCGGTTTCATGGCGGCCACCATCTCCCGCGTCACCAGCTTGGGGGCGGCGGCCCCTGGGACCAGCACGGCGCCGATCACCAGATCGGCGTTGCAGACGTGCTGTTCGAGTGTCTCGACCGTCGAGAAGATCGTGTTGAGCTGTCCACCGAAGCGCAGATCCAGGCGGTCGAGGGTCGGCAGGGACTTGTCGATCACCGTCACGTGGGCTTCCATGCCCATCGCCATGCGCGCCGCGTTGCTGCCCGAGACGCCTCCACCCAGCACCACGACCCTGGCCGCCGGCGTCCCCGGTACGCCGCCGAGCAGGAGTCCGGCACCTCCCTGTTCCTTCTCCAGGCAGTGCGCGCCGACCTGAACGGACATCCGGCCCGCGACTTCGCTCATGGGCGCCAGCAGCGGCAGCCGGCCTGCCGTGTCGGTCACGGTCTCATAGGCGATGGCGGTCGCACCGGATTGCAGCAGGCCCTCGGTCTGCGGACGGTCGGGGGCGAGATGCAGATAGGTGAAGAGGATCTGCTCTTCGCGCAGACGCGCGATCTCGCCGGCCTGCGGTTCCTTCACCTTCACGATCATGTCGGTCTTGGCGAAGACCTCCTCGGCGCTGTCGACCACCTCGGCGCCGGCGGCCCTGTAGGCGGCGTCCTCGAAGCCGATCCCGCTGCCGGCGCCGGCTTCCACCGTCACCCGATGTCCGTGGTGGATCAGCTCGCGCACCGACGCGGGCATCAGGCCGACCCGGTATTCCTTGCTCTTGATCTCCTTGGGCACCCCAACGTGCATCGTCTTCCCCGTTCGTCCGACCTGCGATCTTGATGCATCTACAGAAGAGGACCGCACCATCGCAAGCGGCTCTGCCCTCAAGCCGGATCCTGGTCAGGCTCGTCTTCAGGCTGCGTTCAAGCTCTGCGGAGCCGACGGGGACCGCCTTGCCCGGACGGCCGCATCCTGGACTCGGGACCTTCGCAGTCCGGCTTTTCGGGAGAAGCGTGTCCCAGTCTAGAATCGGGGCGTCGGCGGGTCGACGAGCAGCCGCAGCGCGTTGAAGCCGTAGCCCGTCAGAACGACGGCAATGACGCGGGCGAGGACAAGAGAGAAGTGGGCGCTGCGGCCCATGTTCTCGAAGCTGACCGCTGTGACGCCGAAGCCGACCAGCAGTCCGATCGCGAGCAGGGCGGGCAGCAGGTAGCGGTGCCTGATCAGCCACCAGCCCGCCACGCCCGCGAGCAGCAGGGTGACGGGCTCCAGGATCTCCCCGGCGACCAGAGCGGACCAGAAGCCGGTCCCCGCCAGCAGGTCCCAGGCGAGCGCAGCCAAGGCCACGGCCGCCAACGACAGATGCGGCCAGAAGTAGCGCTTTGCGTGACCCTCGGCATCAAATCGGATCATGTTGTCGGCTCCCGCGAAAACCCGCCGATGCCCAGCCAGTGTCCGGCCTTTATCCGGCCAACATCCGGTTGAATCTCTGATGTCTGATGCTTGGCTTTGTATCAGGTTGGATCCCGACCGGCGCCCGGTTTCCGTGTGGCCTCCAAGGATATTCTGGAGGCTTGTGTCGGCGGTTGAGAGCGCTTAGATTTGCTGAGCCAGCCTTGGGCTGGGCAAGTCCCGCGATCGGCCAGACAGTTGCTCAGGCCGACTGCGGGCCTTTTTGTCGTGATCGCCGTTGACAGTCGAACTGAAATGTCCATAGTGCGCGACTTCGTCGCGCGGGCTGAGGCCTACGCTGGAGGGGTGCCCGAGTGGTTAAAGGGGACGGACTGTAAATCCGTTGGCTCAGCCTACGTTGGTTCAAATCCAACCCCCTCCACCAGCTTCCCTTTCTGCAATCCTCGCGAGCCATGCGACTCGGGGAGATTCGTCACGGAAGTTGCGGGTGTAGCTCAATGGTAGAGCCCCAGCCTTCCAAGCTGGTTATGCGGGTTCGATTCCCGTCACCCGCTCCAGTTGCCTGATCGCCATCGGGCGGTCGGTCGGCTGGAAACTGCGCTGAATGAATGTAGACCGCTGCACGCTGGCAGCGACGCCACAGGGGCCGGAGCAAAGATGTCGAAAGCGAAGTTTGAGCGAAACAAGCCGCACTGCAACATTGGAACGATTGGTCACGTTGACCATGGTAAGACGTCTTTGACGGCGGCGATCAC